AGCAGCATAACCCATCATATGTGGTATTGCATTTTGTTCATAAACTCCAGTGAATAAATGCGACCAAGGCCCTGAAGCATAAACAGCCACATCATCACCACCATGTGTTTCAGAGTCAAGTGGTAACGTTGATGGAAAAGAATCATGTGCATCGCCTGTTAACACTTGTAAAGGATCGCGGCGTTCATGTTTTTCCACGTCATAAAATGTATCATAGCTTGGACCATTTGCATAGCTAAGTACTAAAAATGGTTTTTGGTCGTCAGGCGTGGCAACTGTACGACTGAAAATGTCGCTTCCGCGATACTAGAAACAAAAACAAATCTATTTATATATATTCATGTAATTATATACAATTGGAAATATGTTAAAAATATGTTAAGGATAACAAAAAATAGTTGTTATTCTATTTTTTCTTTTAGTATTTTAGATAGCTTAATTTTTGAAAGTTTAGCATCAAGTGACATTATTCATTTTTAAAATAGAATTTCTTTTAACAGCAATATTATTATAGTTTAGCTTATGTATGCATGACGTCCTAAACAGAACTTTTTTGCAGTCTTTTTCATAGTAAAATATTTAATTCGTTTATATGTTACGAGTATCAAAGGGGATTTGTAACTTACCGGATAACCAGCATAACTGAAGGCGTGCGAATGATCTGCAGTCACAACAATTAATGTATCATCTTCACTTGTCATTTCGCGTGCCGCATCAATTGCTTTGGAAAACTCAACAGCCTCATCCAGTGCAATGCGTGCCATATTATCATGATGCGCCAAATCGATACGTCCACCTTCAATGAATATAAAGTAACCTTCATCATTTTTGCTCAGGTACTCAATTGCTTTCCGTGTCATTTCTTCTAAAGTTGGTTGTGTTGTAGTTTCGTTAGTTTCCAAATGATACAATAAATGACTGTCCTGATAGAGCCCAAAAACGCGTTCCGCCTCATCGAGATTTGCATTCATCAGCTGCTCATGCGTTTCAACGTACAAGTTTTTAGCATTTTGCTGCTTGTAATCGTTAATCAGATTGCGTCCATCACTACGTTCCCCTTTTTCATAGAGGCTACTATCAATGAAGTGTTTTTTACCACCGCCCATAACAAACTTTAGTTTACTACCCACTTCACCGTGTATAAGCTGATATGCAATATCCTGTGCAGTGGAATCTGAACCACAGTCTTCTTTCAATTCACTGTCATTTTCCCAGTCACGTTCAGCAGTATGTGCATAAACGCCTGCCGGCGAGGCATGTGTGATTCTGGTTGTTGTGACAACACCAGCTGATTTACCAACATCCATAGCCCACTTAGCAATAGAGTAAACATAATTATCTTGGTCTTGCATAGCTAAACAATCGTCTCGTTGTACATGACCGTTTACGCCAATAGTACCTTCATTGGCCTTGATGCCACATAGGTAAGCTGTTGCAGTACAGGCAGAGTCCGAAACAATTTTATCTATGGCATAGGTTTTTGACAGTCCAGTGTAGGGAAATTTTTCAAATGCCAAACTTTTTTCTTCGCCACCAAGTAAATTACGTGTGGCTGCAATAGTGGTCAAGCCCATACCATCACCCAAAAATAAAATGACGTTCTTGGCACGTTTTGTATTTAACTGTGCTGTTAGTTTTTCCTTGATGAATTCTTTGCCTTGATTAAGCCAATAATCATTTGATTTCTCAGTTTCATAAGCGCGAGAGTTTACTACATCTTTCGGTGGTTCGTTTGGTAAGTCAGGATGCATAAATCTTTCACGGCAATCCTCATCATTTCGATCACATTTTGGCAAAGCCTGTGATGTTATTGTGAGAAGTGTAAGTATGAAAAGTGTGAGTAGTTTTCCGTGGTAACCGCCCGACATTTTAATGCAAACTGCGTGGTACTTAGCATGTGCGGATCAGTGCAAAAGGCTTCTGAATGTTAAATGCGAATTCGCTACTTACACAATAAAAACGATTGGAGCGATAAGATTATTAATGTCCAATATAAGTATGTTTTATGGGGTATATTTCGATTCATAAATAACTCCTAAATTATATTAAGACGGCTTATCTTGAATATTTTACGCGTGTTTTTTCTTTAACTATCACGCTTTTTCATTTATGATTTTTTTTTTTCATAATCTTCATTGACGACTTGCTAAAGGTTAGTTGTAATAAATTTAAAAATATCTCACCATACCAAAAAAAAAACAGATAAAAGTGAAAGAATACTTGTTTATACACAATTCTTAAACATTTGATAACATGTTTATGACAAATACTAGTGATACATTTTATTATTAAAACTAAGTCCACACTTGGTTAACGTAAGCTGATTAGTTAATTAAATTGACAGGAAATAATGTCTAATGCCTGATAAATTTATGACTTTACCATGTCTTTGATTTTTAAAACAGAACGTAGTTTATGGAGTTTATTACACGCCATATAAGACCTTTGGGTGATGTTCACCATGTGGGCTGCTATGTGTTTGGTTCCTGTTCATAGTTATAGATAAATAGAATATATTTTCAATAATTTACCTATTAAGCTTGTTTAGAAGTTATTCAGATTTTTTTTTTTAATTTCCAGTAATTGTATTTGATAAGAAAATATTTAAGTACTTTCCACAAATTAAGTATACACATCAATTTCAATTAAATGGGATTATAATCTATAGTATTTAGAATATAATAGAAAAGTTTTTATTCTAATCTAAATTATTATTTTGTCACGTATTACAGATTTTTATGATAATGTAGAATACAACTTGAGATAATTATTTTAAATCAAAAATACTTAAAAATAAGTACATTTTAATACGATTTAAATAATGTCATTGTAGATCGATAAGAAAATAATTACTTAGTATGAAAAAGAGTATGTATTACAATGGAAATTCCATTAAATCGTGATTTGAGGAATTATAAAATAAATCAATGATTTTCAGACTTGTCAAATACTATACTGAAGTATTATTATGTATTAACGATAAGATAACTGCTTAGGTAATTTCTAAGAATTTATTTCATTTCGGGTAATAACTTCATCAATTTTGTTTATCAACTAAGCTCTCATTTATGGTGATAAAGGTCTATAATTTAATATATAATAGCTTTGAAAAAATTCTATAATTTAATATAAAATAACTTTGATTATCATTTCCAACATTATTCTACAGTGATCTCGACTGCATCCCACAGTTGTAATGTTATTAACAAAACATTTCAATTGAATTTAATTCCATGGAATGATCAAATATATATATATATATATAGTGATCACAATAATATATTAATTTAATATAATGACAAAATCTTAATTAATGGATATTAAATAATTAAATTCTTATGTATTTTGCAAGCATTGAATTTATTAACTATTTGATATAGTAGTAGTACAGTATAATATTGGGATGGTAAAATATAGTTGTTAATATTGAGAAGTTAGATTTTGTTTTTTTTTTTTTTGTTTTGATTGAATGACTGCTGTTTCACCACAAGATAGTACCCCAAATTTCTTCCACTTTAAACAGCTCTACACAACTTTCTTATTTTGCCTATTTTTTTCTATTTACTTCTTGCAATCTCTAAAACAGCCTTTAATTCTGTCTTGTACGCTCTACAGTATTTTTTTCTTAAAGCTTTATTTCCAGGATGCATTGGTAGTTCTTAATTGCGAAATTATTGGCATATAACCGAACAACTTAAGTTGATAACATTCGGCTTTATTTTGACGTGAGCTTTCTGTAGCTGACTTTTGCTATGATTGTTTTTTATTCTAGCATATCCACCTTTCTCTTTATACTCTTAAGTCTTAAGTCCATTTCAACGATTGTTGATTTTTTAAACTCACACTCATTTGCTGCCCGACTTTTGCTTCATAAAGTAAAATTAGTTCGATGATTGTAATTTAGAGTTTTATTTTTCATGTGTGATGAAACTGACTCGTTCACATACTTCATAAAGTCTCTTTTACCACCGGACTTGATTTAGTTGAACCCCCTTGTAGGAGGTATTTAGGTATCTTCTAAATACCTTGATTAGGCAGCACATTTCAAGAAGTCTATTCTAGCATTGATGTGAGGTGGTATCTAGATAATTATTCTGATTTGACCCTTTGTTAGCGGTTTTGTTTTATTTGATTGATTTATGATAATTTGACTCTTTCGTAAGAGGTGTTATTGATTTTAATTTGGTACCTACTATTTACTATATACATATCTTACTATTTTTCATTATTTATTGTCATTTTATTGGGCCTAAATACTGATCATTATTATGGTCAGTAAACACTGATTTACTCTGTGTTGGAGCAGTTAATTTTGACTTTTATGTCAATGAAATTAACTTTTAACTTATGTATAAGCAGAATCAGATTAATAATATAATTATTTATAAATATTTATTTTATATATATATTTATAAATAATTTTTTCTTGTTCGAAAATATATAAAAAATCGTGATATTTTTTTTAATTCACCAAGTTTAATTCTCATAAAGTAATCTTTTGTGTTCAATATGAGAATAAATATATACTTATGAGTATATTACTAATAATTTTTCTTCTCTGAAAATATATAAAGAATAGTAATTGTTTTTGCACAAACTTTATCTGGTGTAATTAAAAACAAAAATAGACTAAATTTGTAATTTGTTAAAATACAAATATGTCCTAATAATAATAAACTAAAGCAAAAATTAATTCACTAAGTTAAATTCTCATAAAACAATCCTCTGTGTCCAAGTTCAATATGTGTATAACTATACTCCTATGAGTTGATCAAATGGTTGATAATATGAGATAATAAATATTTTATTGATTAATTATTTATAATTAAATTTTAGTTTTCCACTAAAATTTGGTATGAGTAAATACACTCTTAAGTATATACGAGGGCGATTTGATAAGTCAGTGACTTTTTGAATTTCCCGCGTAGTTACTCCAAATGCAACAGTGCTGCCGTTAGCTGTAATCTACCAGTGGGCAACTTTTTAATTTTGAGCAGGCTATGTCGTACAGTTGGTGTTTAATAGCCGTTCAAAGCAGACAACGTCGTGAGTTTTTACGAAAATGGAAAAAAGTAAATTTCGTGTGCTGATTAAGCATTACGATCCCAAATCTACGACTTGGAATACGAACTGCTACCCCATCCAGGATATTCTCTAGATTTAGTCCCCTGCGACTATTTTCTGTTTCCAAACCTAAAGAAATGGCTGGGCGGTAAGAGATTTGAGTCGAATGAAGAAGTCATTACCGAAACAAACGCGTATTATGAGAGCTTTGAGAAAACCTTTTATTTGGAGGGAATAAGAAAATTAGAAAAACGCTGAACTAAATGTATCGAGCTAAAAGGTGATTATGTAGCAAAATAAAATGTTTATTTGCCGAAAAAAATTTGTTTTATTCACAAAGTCACTGGCTTATCAAATCGCCCTCGTATATACATAGTTTTTTTTTTTCAACAATATGATATTAACCGCAACATAATTAAAATACAGTTGTAAATATAAAATATATTAAACTAATTAAATTATATTTGTATACTAATAAAAAGGAAATAATTCATATTTATTCCAGTTTTGGTTATTTAATCTATTTAATTATTGTTTGCTCTGTAAAGAATTAGTTGAGGTCATATCAATGAATACCAAATTGCCCAAATTACAAAGAACTTGCTGGCCCATTAATTAAATAAAGCAATGCCAAATATGCATTGATATATTTATTTAAACTAAAACAAAAAAAAAAACTGTATATATTTAAAAGTGATTTTAATTGAATAACAAAAATTGATTTGAAAAAAAATTTGATTTTATTTTAAAATGAAATTTTGCAAGGCAACTCTTCTCTGATTGGAGAACTATCTGTATTTCTAATTGCTGTCATTTCAAACAATGACAACAATAACAACGACAACAACAACAACAATAATAAAAAATTGCCAAAATGTAACTAAAATTTTGCAATTAAAATAAAATTTAATTGAAATTCATTTCACATAAATATTTTGAATGTACATTGAATTTAATTTATGTACGAGTGACTAGAAAATTCAATATTTATTTGTATCTTTTGTTTGTTTCCATTGCAGAAATACGTCAGTGAATTGTCCACTGTACGGGATTGTGCCACGGAATGCGTTGAGAAAGGTGAGTACCATTTTTTGTGTAACTTTTGTGGTTCGTATCCATAAATTATCCACAAAAATTTTAATTTCACATTGAAAAATATTTACGTTTTATTGGAAATTTGAGTTTTTGTAATTTGGTATGAAAATTAATGCAACGAAATGCAGCCTTAGTGCAGTTTTGCTCGCCCGTCGCTCTAATGAATTATGACTTTTAAGAACATTAAATATTCACACAAAAATTTTCTCCTAAAATATTAAAATATTTACTGTGTTCTCAACAATTGGCCATAAATAATCGAATGGAATTTTAATACACAATAATATCGGTAAGGTATTGGATTAATGTGTATTAGTTCAAAAACGATTATTAATTGTTTCAAATTCATTTCATTATTATGAAAATATAAAGCGGATATTATATGTTAATATTTCATTTAAAATATTAATCTTTAATTTAATATTTTGTCATTAAACGTAAGAGATTTATTTTAAGCGCTGTAGTATTCATCTATTTAATTTAAGCCATATGCATTATAATATTATTTATCCACACAAATAAATACGCAAGGATTTATCCATATGTTATATACTTAAATAGAATGTTGTTTATGTAATCGAAAACCATTTAATTAATTTCGATTAAATTTAGATAAGAAGGAAGCTTATAGGCTAACTTCACCTAATACAGATACGTGATGCTAGTGTAGCGAAACAAATGTAAAAATCTTCTTAGTTACAATTAATGAAGATACATTTTTAAAAGTAAATATTTAAAAAAAAATAATATTGTTATAAGCCAAAGTATTAAAAATTAAATTCTACCATCACATTTAACTTAAAATTTTTAAATAATAAGAAATAATTATTTTCTAACTGACATTTTATTAAAAAAAAATATAAATGTTACTCAAAAGGACATACATTGAAAGACCTATAAGTAGGGTAGATAAAAATTTTTGTCAGGCTTCAAGACTTGCTTGGTCTAGTTTTGACAATAAGCGTATCGATTAGTTGCTTCAACTAAAGCGGTATCTAGTACGGAATACGACGGTATTGATGCTAACAGGTCACTATGTTTAAGAAAGAAACGTAATGAGACTTGGTTTAGCGTATATCCCTAAAGACTTTTTCGTAGATGCTTTTCTACAGAGGTACGCCCATCTGTAACTATCCCATCTTAAACAGACTTTATAAGGAAAATAATCAACATTTAGAAATTGGACTAGAGAATTATATTAGCGATTTAGAATTTTAAATATAAAAAAGCAGCACTAATGAAATGCTAGAACAACAAGAAAGCAATAAGTAATTGAAAAAAAATTGACAAACATAGTATATATACTACTATGTTGAGGCTAGTTGAGTGGAGTCAGTGCACCTGAGCACTTTTACTCTCTATTAACTGCGAGGTTTCTACAAAACCCCTCTTTGCGCCTTGACTGGATTTTTGTTTATACATATCATAAGATAGTTGATACTTATTGTCATTTGCATCATTAGTTATCTTCCGATTCAAATTCTTTTAGGAACTGTTAAGAGTTCTAAAATTATATGGGTATAATATATAATACAATCATTTTATAATTTTAAAGTTATACTATTTTCAATTCTTATTCTTAAGAATTATACAAGTATTCTTAAAAAAAGTTTCAGAGAAGTCTTCTATTGGAATTTACTATCGAACAGTTTATTATAATTAATAATAAAAATAAAAAAAATATATTGTATTTGCAATAATAAATTCTTTTATAATCAAAAGCTTAGAGAGGCATGTTTTGTATTATAGAGATAGATGTTGTGTATAGCCAATTATTACTTGTAAAATATTTTTATTTTTATACTTATTTTATTATAATTATATTGTAATCATTTAGTTTATTTATAACTTTTATGATTAAATTTATAACAATTTTTTTTTTTTGTAATTTAACAGAGGTTTGGGAGACCCAAACATTTTGCTGCGATCAAGATGGCTGCAACGGCGCAAATGAACTACAAATATCGAAGTTCATTTTACTATTATGCTTGCCTATTATATACATGGTCTACAGTTCTATCGGAAGTGTGTTTAAGGCTCGTCGTTAAGGTTCAAAACTTAAAAAAAAATTATTTTAATTTTTAATTAATTTTAAATAATTTTAAATAAGTTTTTTTTATTATTAACTGTACACTTTTAGTTATACTTTTATAATATATATATGAATTAATTTACTATCTGCTTAAGTCATTTTTTATATAATAATTTTTATAAGTGGGACCTAAAGCGAGATTATGAATTGTTTCTTCGTATTTCATATCTATATTTATAAACCATATTTTGCATATTTATTTATAACTATATAACTCTTTGTTTCATTCTGCAGTTATAACTACAATAGCAAATTTTTAGTCATTTAAAGATAAAAAAAAAAAATATATTGTATAAATCTTATATTGTATTTAATGCTGAAATTTGTTTAAAATACTTTGCTTTGTAATTTTATCAGTCTTCCCAGAGTAAAATAAAATGAGTATATATATTAATGATAAACATTAATAATTAAAAATCAACTAATGCCGTTTTAAAATAAATATTTAAAAAACTAAAAAAATGAATTATAACAAAAAGATTAGGAAACATTCTAAATTTCACTTAAAAAAATCAATTAGAGAGTAAGTCAAGTATAAAAATTAAAAAGTTATATAGAAATATTTATTAAAAGCAGAGAATTTTTAGTCTACGCTATCTGCTAGTATATACATATACAAAAATATTTATATACTTAAAAAATGAATAAATATTTTAAATATTATTAGAAATGAAAACTTAAAAAATAAAAAAAAGCTTTAAAATTGTTTTAAAGTGAAAGAAATTTTTTTTTTTAATATGAAACTTATAAATTAAAAACTAATAATTTTAATAATATTTTTATTTTATACGCTGTTTTTAAAATTTAAAATTTCGGTTAACTTTTGTCATTGAAGACGTAATATTAAGCAAACGACAATTTCGTGAGGAGTAAAATTTTGGGGTCTTGCGAAATTGTTGCTTCCAAATAATATCGTCAATTACTTGTACAATTTTTAAATCACTCAAATAAATTTAATAAATGAGATTCTAAATAAGCATTAAAGTCATATAGTGACCATTTTCTATTAAGCATAAAATATTTTAAAATTTTTTCTTAAAATAAATAATAACAAAACAAGAATTAAATTTTTTCCATAGTTGGAATGCAACGAATAAATTTGAATTTAGTTCTCTAAAATAAGTAAATGCTTTTCACTAGTTTTCAATAACATTTTAAGATATTTATATATACATATTAAAAAAAGAGTAAATGGTAAAAGTAATACCATAAGTATAAAGAAATACAATATAAATTTCAAAAATAGTAACAGAAATCAGTAAACTGAAGAGAAACATATAAAAATATATAGTATACATATATTAATTTATATGTATATATAGAACATTTTGTTTATATATAAATAACAAATATGTAATTTTAAGGTGGCGAAAAAAAATGAAATAAAAATAAACAAACAACCAAGTTATTTAAAAAACACTAAGAATTAAAATTTACACAAAACCATTTAAAAATATATAAATATTAAAACTGTACAAGAAATTCTAAATTATTGTTAAATTATATTAAAGTAAATATTAGTGTTACTAAATAAAAAAGAAAAAAATAAAAAACTTATACTGCAATTATAAAGAAAAAATATCTACAAAATAATTTAAATTAAAATAAATAAACTTTAGTGATGCAAAGAACAGCAATTAAAAAAAAAATATATATATGAATTATACAAAGTTTTAATTAATTTAAAACTAAAATTTTTTGACTAAAGCACTTTCGTAATATTTATTTAATTTTTAAATAAAAAAAAATATATAAATAAAAAGTATTTCAGATTAAACTTAAGGCTTCATAAACTTACAGAAGAGATTTATTCGTAGTCAGCAAAATATAAAAAAATGATTTTTAATATTGGCAAAAAAAAAAAAATATAAAAACAAAAAACATAGCAATAATTAAATAATACCAGACATATTAGTTCCTTGAAAAGCATATATAAACAAAATAAAAAAAAAGCTACAATAGTTTCAATATTTAAATAATAGTGAAATAATGGTAACAACTTTATGTAAAAAAACTACACAGAACTTAATTTTGTTTGGCTTTTTTGTTGTAAGTGATTTTATTATTCGCGTAACTTTTATTTTTGAACAATGCCATTTAATAACAAAAAAAAAGAATTAAATAATTAACTTTTTGCCTTTATTAAAATTGAATTCTTTTTCATCCTCTGTGCAAAATTTTTTTTATTGATTTTAAAACAATAAAACATTTTGCTGTGCTTTTTATTGTGTGTGAAAGCACTTTTTTTAATATTACTTATTTTTTCATTTGCACATTTAAAACACTTTCAATTTATTTTTTTACTATATTTAATGTGATAAACATTAAAAATCAATTTAATAAATATAATATTTGTATATGTATAAGAGAATTTATGTATTTTACTCGTTCAAATGTTTGGTGTATTTTATGTGTATTGTATTTTTTTATTATTAAAAATTATAATATAAATTTTAAATTTTATTAATGCTATTGTACTATATACATACATACAAATAAATATAATTATGTGATTAACACAAACATTGACACATAATTAAAATGAATTCAAAATAAAATCAGATTCAATTCAATTATAAATTAATTCACTTATTCAGAAAATTAATAATGCAAAATTAATACAGAAATACTACACAAATAATTCAGCAATTTATAAATTAAAAATAATTAATACAATTAAGTGAATTATAAAAAAAATTATAATAAATAATATTTAAAAATGTAATTTTGATTTAAGCAATTAAATTAAATAAAATAAATTAAAACACAAAAAAATATTTTGTCTTTTTTTTGTTTTGCTATGAGCACAAAAAAATATGGTATGAAATATATGTTCTTTAAATTAAATTAATTAAATAAATTTTTAAACTAAAAAATATAATTTTTCTAACATGAAATTTTGTATTTGGAGCTTAAGTATAGTTAATAAAGTTTTTGCCATAAGTCGTATAGTAAAATTAAATAAGCGTTTCTACATGAGGGAGTCAAGAAGGCGATAACTCATTAAATTATTATATTTTTAGTGCAGTTAACTAGCATTTTTTTATATTCTATTTTATTTTCAATTTGCTAATATTGAAGATGATGTTGTCAGAAGTTACAGATGTTACAGAAGTTGGCAGCGATATTACGTCCTTTTTATTTTGCTATATAAGTGCTGTGAACTAGCACCTTGGATATTTTTTTGGTGATATTTTTAATTTATTATTCGTGTTTTTAACTGACAGTAGCAGTTAACAATTCTTCTTACTCAATATTTTCCCATTTTTTTTGGTTTGTTAGCTGTCATTTTGACGCTTGCTTAATTTAATGTAAACACTTGAACTAAGTTGTGCGCTAATCATATGCTGAATAAAATAAAAGTGGTTGCTGGGTAATTGATTTAAAATCAATTTAGTAGGTTAATTTGTACCCAGCATGACATTTACAATAATTGCCTTAATAATTTTAAGAGGTTTCGAAAAAGTAGGTAAGTGATGGTGGGAAGTTTGGCTAATTAAAAGACAATTTATTCTTTTTAATTCAAAATAATTGAACTTAAAAATCTATTTTTTTAATTTTCTAATTTCTCCTTAATAAACAGTATTTTATTCCTTCTTTTATTCAATCAATAACTAATAAATTTCTCGAGATTTGTAAATCATGTGTTTGTTTTTAGAATAGTTCTATTCAAGGAGTAATGGTGTTTCATTTTAAATGTGAGATTCAAATTAAAATTAAACATTAAATTTTATTATAATATAGTTAATAAATAAATACAGGCTATAAATAAAATAAGTAAAAAGCGTATGTCGTGAAGAGAACATAAATCCCTCTAAAAATTGGAAGCGCATGGAATTATTACCAGACTTAAAAAATGTGAAAGTGTACCTTCTATTAACCTAACATTGTAAAAATCCTAGTTTTTATACTAATCCAGTCAAAGTAATATCATTTCAATGAATTATTTTAAATTCAAACCAAAATGCAATGTGAATGAAAAAAATAATTTATATTTAAATTATTTTCTGATACACAATGAAAATGGTTATGTGAACATATGTAATAGAGTACTTACATAATTTATTATTCATGCAATATAAATCAATGAATAATTTAAAAAATAATTTTCTTATATAAATATTACAGGGATCAGCGTCAATAAATCTTAGCCTAAATATATTTCTTGCACGCAAAAATAAAATTTATTTTTTTTATTCGTACCAGAACTGTTTGGAGCCAGTGTATCTTATTTTCTTTATTATATATTTCAAGTATATAAGTATAGATATATTTCATAATCATTATCCGTTTTTATATTCTATAGTTCATGATTTATTATTCCGATGTTTCTGATGCTGTGAAGGAGGTTTCAATACGATTATTTTTTCTAAGACGAGGCGGTAGATTTTAAACGTAACTTGTTTTAAGCAGGATCGACTGTTAGAATTTTACTAGATTTTAATAGAAAGTGAGATTTCAGATTTATAAGACATGGAAATTGCTCCACAAGAGACACATGCCTCAAGTCGCATTAATTGCAAAACACTTGCCAGATTTTTATTTTGATAACGAAGTTTTCTATCTACAGCTTATGTGAACTGTCAAAGCTGTTGTGTATTATATTAGCACATTTAACTGAAAGATAATCTTCTATACATTACTTAAGAATGTGTTCTTTAAACCTAATTGAATTCTCAAGGAGAACATCAGAGTTAAATCTCAGTATGAAAATAATTAACTTTAATCATAATTGAATTATTTAATTAGTAGAAAGAAAGTTGAATAAGAATCCAAAGATAGCTGATGAGTTTACCATATATGCCAAATCTATGTTCAACTTTAATATATATAAAAAATGGTAAGTTTTCTATAATCAATTAGTTTAAGTCGCCATAAGGGCGAAATCTACCTAGTCCATCTATTGTATTATATATCTCCATTATTAGACTTATTATTAGACTTAGTATATACATTTATTATACAAATATTCTTATAACATCAGTTGTGGTCAGTATTAAAAATTAATTTCATAAAAA